CACCACTGCACGCTGTTCACACCAGCTTGACCCCGCTGATAACTCCTGTACTCCCAACGACAGAGCTGCCTATTTTCCTTTTAGTTGAAGATGAAGTTCATATTTCTATTATCTACGGTAGGTGTGTCTGAGAGCAAAAAGGGGGAAAAATGTGATTTAAAGCCTGGAATTCAAACCCCTCAAATCTTTGAAGCTACAGCCAGCTGAAAAAAATTCTAGTCAACTGCAGTCGTTCATGTTTATCAGGGGGAGAAAGAAAAAGTCCCACTCCAAACAAAAGCCCTTACCAGGGAGAGGGAAAATATGAGAAGTATTTGGTGAGACGCTTCATTTGCTCCAGAGCCCGCCTCGGAGCGGCTTACCCAGCAAGCCATTCTGCCCACGGGGGACTCGACCTGTCCCCCCACCCCAGGACGTTATTAAGTTGGAAATAATTAAGGTTGCTAAGTGATTTCACCCCTTGTGAGACTGCTGGAAAGGAATCCTGCCACTGTTTAATTAAAAAATGAAGAAAGAAGAGAGACTAAGAAAGGTGAAAGAAAAGGAAGGAAGGAGGGAAGAACGGAGTAGGGAAAGGAAGAGAGGAAAGGAAGCTTTGTGATGTGCCGAGGGGACGGGCTCGGAGGCTGGGCAGGGGCGTCCCCTCCTGCCACACAAGACTCCATCTCCTGCTCAGCAGTCCCTGCCACCGCCTGCCCCTGTGGCCAACCATCCCTCCTGGCACCAGTGCCTAGGCAGCTGCCTCCTCCCTGCTACCAGGGAGGAACAAAGTGAATCCGGAGTTCTCTTGGCATCAGACGCCAGCTTCTAAAGGCTGGAAGGGGCCCAGTTAGAACACTGAGCAGGAGTTCCCATTGAAGACTGGCTCCTGCGCTTCCCAGCTGTGTGGCCTGGAGCAACAGCTTTTAACCCCAATGAAGCTGCCATTTTTGTAGGCTAAAATGATCAGATATCAGCAAGTCCATGAGATCCCGCCTGAACTGCTTGAAAGGCAAGCGTTGTCCTACTACGAGGCAGCAGCACATTCCCCACGCAGTCACCGAGTATCTCCAAGATGTCGGCACGGGGCGAAGTTGGTACATACTGTGGACCTGCTTAATCCTTTTAGCAACCCCCAAAATGGATGTGGCAGTTTCCCCATGTTGTGGATGAGGCAGCTGAGGCTCATACAGCTCAAATCTCATGCCTCAGGACGTTCTCCTAGAATCTGAAGCAGTTAGGATTTGAACCCAGGCAGTCTGCCTTCAGAGCCTGGGCCCTTCACTATTAATTAGTCAACCATCAATTAATTAAATCAATACATTTGTTTGGTCAGGAAATACTTACGGAGTTTCTTTTAATGGACCACACACAGTTCTAGGCATTAGAAATGCAATGACAGGAAGAAAGAGACTCTTCCGTGGATAAGGACGACATGATGTAGATAAATAAAAGGTATCACAGACAATGGTTGTCGCGAGGCGAGAGACTTTGCTAGGGTGGTCTGGGTGGTGATACAGGAGGAAGAAGCAGGGTGACTGGAACATCTGGAATGGGGCAAAAGTGATAGTGGCAGACAGCAAGCGGGGGCGATTGTAGTCTGTGGCAGACTTCAGGCGCCACAGTCCAGGCAGATGTAGCATGGACCCAGGGCTGGAGAAGTGGGCGGGGTCGGACTCTATCCTGAAGGTAGAGGCAGCAGGACCTGCTGATGACGTTGATGCACAGGAGGGAAGGTCTATTACTTTTATTACCCCAAGTCCACAGCAAGTAAGTTGTAGAGAAAAGACTTGAAGCCAGGCTCTTCACATGAGGCAAACGTTCCCTTCACCATTCATGTCATAAGCATTTATTGAGTGCCTACTGTGTGCTTTGATTCATTTCACAAGCATTTATTGAGTGCTTACTGTGTGCTTTGTGCCAGATGCTGAGACAGCCCTGCTCTGCCCTCCAAGAGCTTCTCTTCTCCAGGGGAAGGCAGACTCCAAGCCATAAAGTCATTGGGACCCATATAATTATGTAGGTGCAGAGAAGCAGGTGTCCCAATACATCGCAAGGGGATGGTCCTCATCACTCCAGCTTCCTGGAGCCTGCAGAGGGGCAACACTGGACCATAAAGATAGCTGGCTGGGCTCAGTGGCTCACACCTGTAATCTCAGCACTTTGTGAGGCTGAGGTGGGCAAATCATGAGGTCAGGAGTTTGAGACCAGCCTAGTGAAACGAGGTGAAACTCCAACATAGTGAAACTCCATCTCTACCAGAAATACAAAAATTAGCCGGGTGTGGTGGCATGTGCCTATAGTCCCAGCTACTTGGGAGGCTGAGGCAGGAGAATTACTTGAATCTGGGAGGCAGAAATTGCAGTGAGCCAAGACTGCACCATTGCACTCCAGCCTGGGCCACAGAGTGGGACTTCATCTCAAAAAAAAAAGAAAAAAGAAAAAAAAAAAAAAGCCAACACCTCTGATGCTTCCCAGAGGCTAGGGAATGTGCTGAGAAGTTTACATCCATTATGTTACGTCAATCTTTATAAGAACTCTGGGAGGCTGGGTGCTGTGTCTCACACCTGTAATCCCAGCACTTTCGGGAGGCTGAGGCAGGTGGATCACTTGAGTCTAGGAGTTCGAGACCAGCTTAGGCAACATGGTGAAACCCCATCTCTACAAAAAATAATTATAAAAAAAATTAGCTGGGCACAGTGACACATACCTGTAGTCCCAGCTACTTGGGGGTCTGAGGAGCAAGGATCGCTTGAGCCCAGGAGGTCAAGGCTGCAATGAACTGTGATTGCACCACTGCACTCCAACCTGGGGAACAGAACAAGACCCTGTTTCAAAACAACAGCAGCAACAACAAAAGCCAAAAAAAGAGAACAAAAACCCTAGGAGGAGGAAACTATATTTACTCCCACTTTACAGATGAAAAATCCAAGTTTGGCGGTGGTGGGGGCAAATTTGCTGAAGGTCACGCTGCTGGCAGAGCTGGGACTCAAACCTTGGGGCTTGGATCCTCAACTTCACCCCTTCCCTCTCTGCTCAAAGTTCTCTGATACCAACCCCTTCTCATCACTTCTTTGAGACAAAGAGATGTGATTAACAAATCAATATGTCAAATCATAAGCGTGTTCTACCTCCTGACAGTGATGGAAGCAGGTGTGTTTTGGGGTGGGGTAGAAAGTTTGAGCATAAGCAAAATTTGATGAAAGTCCAGAATTTTGCATAGCTGTTAATTACTTACAGGTTTCACAGAATATCATTCCATGTGATGTATTCTACTCAAAGATTGATCAGTAATATAACTTGAACTGTATTCCATTTACTCACACAATTTAAGATAATGTAGTGCCAAATAACGACTAACCCTAAAAGCTGTTTCTTCAAAGAGCCCCAGGCTCTCTTGTTGTTCTAATGCACTTGGAAAGGAGAAATTGTGCCTCTGCCAGTCAGACGGCAATTTGATCCTTCCTAAACCTCAAATAAATGAGGGTCCTTCCAGTCTCAAGTGGGGGTGGGCGCTTTGATGGGGTCTGAGTTACCTCCTTCTAGCCGAGGGTTTCTCGACCTCAGCACTATTTTCTTCTGGGTCAAATCTTCCACTGTTGGGGGGGGGGGCCATCCTGTGACTCAAAGGGTGTTAAGCAATGTCCTTGCTCTCTACCCGCTAAATGCCAGTGGCACCCTCTTTCCCCAGTTGTGACAACAAAAATGTCCCGAGAAGTTGCTCCCTGTTCTCTGTGGAGTCACAATCGCTCCCTGCCACTGATCATTCATATGGGGAGCCAGAGCGTGTTCTTCAGAGGCAAACTTAAAATCTCACTTAAAAGTGCAGAAACTCCCTCCAAGAGATAAATCATAGCTTTTGTTCATTTTTCTGTTTTTAGAGACGGGGTTTCTTTGACTCTGTTGCCCAAGCTGAAATGTAGTGGTGTGATTGTCATAGCTCACTCCAGCCTCCCAGGCTCAAGGGATCCTCCCACCTCAGCCCCTGAGTAGCTGGGACTATAAACTGTGCCTCCATGTCCAGCTATTTTTCTTTTTCTAATTTGTTTTGTAGAGAGATGAGGTTTCACTATGTTGCCCAGACTGACCTCGAACTCTTGGGATCAAGCTATCCTCCTGCCTTGGCCTCCCGAAGTGTTGTGATTACAGGCGTGAGCCACCATGCCCAGCTTGTTTTCCTGTTTCTTTTGTTCCTGTTGCTGCATGGACACATCCTTCAGGTGCCACTAGGAGACCCTCAGAGGGCTGACTGACACCTGCAGACGTCCGGGCTCAGGCGGGTTGCAGAATGGGCAGCTACGTGTGCGCTGGCAGCAGCTGGTACCTTTCCGTTTGTCTCTTCCCTTCTGTATCCTGAATTCTGCATGAACCAAAGCACTCCCAGAGGCCTCAAGATGAAAAGTAAAGTGGTCAGGAACGTGCCTGCCTTAATGTAGTCAGAGTTCTCGGGCCAGGGGAACACGTTGTTCCATTTAGTGGATTTGCTCTACCAGCTTCTGGGTGTTCAGCTCTTGGGAACCCCTATCCCTCCAGGATGACGTTTGATGTTACTGTGTGTGTCCCTAACACTCTGCAGGCAGTAATTATAGAAATCTGCGGGACGGTCCTCGTCTCGCCAACCCCCTCCCCCTTTTCCATCTCAGACAACAAATAAAACAGCCCAGCTCTCCTTTGCGGCAGGACCACCAGGGCTGAGCAAAGGACCGCCAGCCCCTCCCCAGGGTCCCTCGAGCTCCCCACTTGGCTCTTTCAAGGGCGTTTCAATGAGCAGCCTTGTTGAGACTTCCACAAGGGCCCGGCCTAGGAGGGACCATTAAAAACAGTTTCATCAGAACAAAAGAGGTTCTGTTCTTATTGTCCCCCTGGCTGCAGTTTAGAAGCAGCAGCTGAAAATCTATCTGGACTGAGCAACAAATCTGGACCCAACCACACTGCGGAGTTCGCTCTCAGCAGAGATTTCTGGATGGATCCTTGAAGCAGATAATTTACAGCTAAAGCAAAACACAAGGAGAAGCTTTTGATTTGGCACAAATGTTTTCTATTAAAAGCCTTCGGAAGCCCCTGGTAACTGGAGCTCTCTTCTTCTTACACAAGCTCGAGGTGATTGTATTCCTGCACAGAGCCCCTTAGAAGAATTCCAGGTTTGAATGCAAGTCCTGTCTGAGAGGAAGAGTGTGGAGCTACGCTATGAGAGATTGCACGGAGCCCGAAGCATGCAAAGGGGAGGGTCTGTGGGTTGATTTTAAATGCCTGCCCTGGAAGCTTTGTGGTTGACAATTTTCTGCTGCTGAGACGCACCAGACAGGCAGGGGCATTTGTGTTCTGGACAGACGGGAATTGCCCCAGAGTGGAAATGTTTGTCTGTCAAGGGGAATGGGAACTTTTGTCGCCAGCTTTCTGGGACATCAGATGAGGTCAGTGCCACCAATTCCATGGGATGGACTGCCTAAAAGAAGTTATTTTAAAATCTGTATTTGTTTTTAAAAAGCTATTTTTAGTCTGGGTGTGGTGGCTTACCCCTGTAATCCCAGCACTTTGGGAGGCAAAGGCGAGTGAATCGCCTGAGGTCAGGAATTCGAAACCAGCTTGGCCAATATGGCAACATCCCGTCTCTACCAAAAATACAAATTAGCCGGGTGTGGTGGTAGGTGCCTGTAGTCCCAGCTACTTGGAAGGCTGAGGCAAGAGAATCACTTAAACCTGGGAGGTGGAGGTTGCAGTGAGTTGAGATCACGCCACTGCACTCCAGCCTTCGTGACTTAGGGAGACTCTGTCGCAAAATAAATAAATAAAATAAAGTTATTAAAAATTTTTTTTTTCTGTATTGGCAAAGACGAAATTTCGAGAATGACTAGGTCCAGCAGCTTATTTAGTTTGACCTCTGGAATCCTCATGTGGATTTCCAGAATGGTCATTTTCAAAGCTGCCAGTTAGTGTCTGTGTGTGTGGCCTAGCACAGCTCAGAGCCACGTTCATTCAAGTCAGGAATTGAAACAGAGGAGTCACAGGAGCCAGTCTTGGGGTTGTGGATGCTCAACTTCAGGAAAAATGTCCCTGCAAGGCCCTGAGGATGGCCTCCAAGTGCAAACAAGAACCAGCCAGAAAGTAACAGGCCAACAGGTGTATTGCAGCATTTCTGAGAATTCTCTCTTTTTTGGGGGGGCTGGGGGTGGGCAGAATCTCACTCTGTCACCCAGGCTGAAGTACAGTGGTACAGTCTTGGCTCATTGCAACCTCTGCCTCCTGGGTTCAATTGATTCTCCTGCCTCAGTCTCCCGAGTAGCTGGAACTAGAGGTGCGTGCCACCACACCTGCCTAATTTCTTATTTTTAGTAGAGACGGGGTTTCACCAAGTTGGCCAGGCTGGTCTCTAACTCCTGACCTCAGGCGATCCACCCGCCTTGGCCTCCCAACGTGCTGGGTTTATAGGTGAGGCACCACGCCCGGCCATTTCTGAGAATTCTGTACCAGGTGGACATCAGCGATGTTGCTTTCCCTGTGCCCAGCAACCAGGACATTCCTGGAGCCTGTTTTTCTTTCTCCCTTGAGGAATTCAGAAGTGCCCTCCTGAGGAAACGTCAGTTTCGAGGCCAACATGAGTGGTACTGGCTGCCAGTCATCACTTCTTCCTTCCTTTCTTTTTTTTTTTCTAAGACAGAGTCTCTGTCACCCAGACTGGAGTGCAATGGGGTGATCTCAGCTCATTGCAACCTTTGCCTTCCGGGTTCAAGCAATTCTCCTGCCTCAGCCTCCCGAGTAACTGGGATTACAGGCACCGGCCACCACACCTGGCTAATTTTTGTATTTTTAGTAGAGACAGGGTTTCACCATGTTGCCCAGGTTGGTCTTGAACTCCTGACTTCAAGTGATCCACTTGCTTCAGCCTCCCAAAGTGCTGGGGGAGTACCCAGCCAGCCGACATTTCTTAAGTTGATTATGTGTTAGGCACTTTCCATGGATTACCTCATTGTTTCTTCCCAGCAATATGAGAGAGAGAGAGATGAGAGAGAGAATTCTATCCATTTTACAGATGAGAAAACAGAGACCCAGAAAGGTTTGGCAATTTGTCCAGGGTTGCTTGGTGAGCAAGCAGCAGATTCTGATTCAGGAGTCCTGGGTGGGCTGAGATCCTGCTCCTGGTGGTGCTGATGATGCTGGTCCCCCAACCACACTTTGAGAAGCTAGGATGTAGTACAGGGGTCAGCACGCTTTTCTGTAAAGGGTCAAGTTCTGAATATCCCTGACTCTGCAGACCACTCAGCCTCTGTTACAGCTTCCTCCATTCTGCTGCAGGAGCCACGGATGGTATGTAAACAACTGGCTGTCTTCAAAAAAAACTTTTCTAACTAAAATAGGCAACTGGGCCAAGTGTGGTGGCTCACGCCTGTAATCCCAACACTTCGGGAGGCTGAGGCAGGCAGATCACCTGAGGTCAGGAGTTCGAGACCAGCCTGGTCAACATGTTGAAACCCTGGCTCTACTAAAAATACAGAAATCAGCTGAGCATGGTGGTGCACACCTGTAATCTCCGTTACTCAGGAGGCTGAGGCAGGAGAGTCGCTTGAACCTGGGAGGTAGAGGTTGCAGTGAGCTGAGATCGCACCACTGCACTCCAGTCTCGGTGACAGAGTCAGATTCCATCTCAAAAAAATAAAATAAGACAGGCAACTGAACTTGGCCTCAGGCAGAGTTGGCTGGCCCCCGATCTCTAGTAGATGCACACAGTGCCAGCCTCGTTAAGATGCTGGGAGGATGGAATGGGTAAACCTGCGAAATGCAGATGCAGATGCTGCTGGCTGCGGACCAAGTATTCAGCATTGTGCCAATTAAAAAAGCTCTCTGGTCAGCCTCTCTTGTGGCTAAGGGTGCCTGTGTGACCCTGCGCTAGCTGAGAAGATGTGAGAATGAGATATAGCATATCAGGAAAGGCTATTGTTTTCCTGATAAAGTGGGACAGCCTCAACTGGCACGTGCCCCTTGTCCTTCCTCTTTCCACTATTTATCCTACCTGGATGGCTGATGTGATGTCTGGAGCTGTAGCAGCTACACTGTAACCACAAGGATGCCACCCACAGGGTAAGGACAGCAGAACAGAAAGCTTAAGAGGAGGTGGAGATTTGCAACCTTTTCTGAGAAGCTGCAACAGCTTTCACTTCCTCCCTATAGATTTCCTGTACAGGAAAAAAAAATACGCCCTGATTGGTTAAGTGACTACGGTGAGGTTTCTGCTCATGTAGTAACTAAACACACTCCTAATGATCCAAACACTGAGCATGGTGCTGGGAACATGGTACTGGATGAGTGATCACTGTTCAGTGTTGGTAATGTCGGAGGCAAATCTTCACCCTCTGGGGCATGTTGAATGATGGGTAAGGTGACATGTTGGGCACGGAATCATTTTAATGCCTACTCTTTTTTTCAATTCAGTGAGCAGTTAGGAGGCTGGTCAGGGAGTAGAAGGGGTGATATCTCAGTACTGCTCTGCAGAGTAGTTTGCATACTGTCTTCATTGTGGCTGGGTTTCTCTTCCTCACTTAAAGGCGCAGATAACTTCTGAATCATCCCTGTGCCCCTGGGAATGGTGCCTGATGCTCACCGATCATGCGCTTATAGAGGTTTGGAGTGCAGCCTTCCTACCCTGTGGTGTCACTGTGGCTGTGTGCTCAGCAGCCATGCTCTGCCTGCTTTCTCTTGCCTTTTTTTTGAGATGGAGTTTCGCTCGTTACCCAGGCTGGAGTGCAATGGCGCGATCTCAGCTCACCGCAACCTCCGCCTCCTGGGTTCAGGCAATTCTCCTGCCTCAGCCTCCCGAGTAGCTGGGACTACAGGCACGCCCCACCATGCCCAGCTAATTTTTGTATTTTTAGTAGAGATGGGGTTTCACCATGTTGACCAGGATGGTCACGAGCTCTTGACCTCGTGATCCACCCGCCTCGGCCTCCCAAAGTGCTGGAATTACAGGCGTGAGCCACCGCACCTGGCCTTTTCTCTTGCCAGCGGAATCTGCTTCCCACAGCAGCAGCTGAGCTGAGCCTCGTACTTCATTTCCCAGCCTCCTTTGCAGCTAGGATGCCATGGGCATGCTGTGATCAGTGGGATGCAAGGGGAAGTTTGCTGGGGGAAACCTGTCTGGGAAAGGGCTTCACTCCTGATACAAAGAGAGGAAGAGAAGGGCCTCCACTCCCACTCCCTTCCAGCTCCAAACCTGGACTTGGCCAGGCATAGTGGCTCACGCCTGTAATCCCAGCACTTTGGGAGGCCGAGGTGGGCAGTTCACGAGGGCAGGAGTTCAAGACCAACCTGGCCAATATGGTGAAACCCCATCTCTACTAAAAATACAAAGAAAAAAAAATTAGCTGGTCATGGTGGTGAGTGCCTGTAATCCCAGCTACTTGGGAGAATTGCTTGAACCCAGGAGGCAGAGGTTGCAGTGAGCCAAGATCGTGCCATTGCACTCCAGCCTGGGTGACAGGGCAAGACTCCATCTCAAATAAAAAGCCTGGAGCTCTGGGCTGGGTGTTGTGGCTCATGTTTATAATCCCATGCTTTGGAAGGCTGAGGTGGGAGGATCGCTTGAGCCCAGGAGTTCGAGATTAGCCTGAGCAACATAATGGAACTTCCTTCTTGCAAAAAATTTTAAAAAATAATTAGGTGTGGTTGTGTGCACCTATAGTCCCAGCTACTGGGGAGGCTGAGGCAGGAGGATGGCTTGAGCCTGGGAGGTCAGGGCTGCAGTGAGCTGTGATCATGCCACTGCACTCCAGCCTGGGGGATACAATGAGACACCATCTTAAAAACAAAAAACAGAAACAGCCAGAGGAACTCTGGAGCTCTGGTAGCCACCTGTGGCCTTCGGGTGACAAGTCAGAGGAAGAAATGCCAACTGCAGAGGAGGACAGACAGGGAAATGGGGACAGCCCAAGGCCTGAGTGGCTCTGCTGGAATCCTGAGCCAATGCTAGAACCATTTACCTTCTTCCTGACTGTCCGTGAAGAGCACTGAATGTCTGTTTAAGACACCAGGCAGGGGTTCCCTGCAGCTGATCCCGCCTGCCACACAGTTAGTGCTTCAATCGGGTGCATAACTCTTGACAATGCCCTCGCCTCCCAGACCTCCTCTTCCACCCGTTCCCCGTCCCTCAGGGAAATGGCCCTGGCCTTGCACCATCCTTAACTTCCTCTTTCTCCCACACCCCATATCCAATCCGTCTGAAAATCTACCTTCAAGTAGATCCAGAATCCAACCACTTCTCACCCGCTCCATGCCCCCGCTGGGGTCTGGACGCTTCCACCCTGGATGGACTTCCCCAACCAGGGATGTGGACTTCCCCGTCCAGGTGTGGACTTCCCCACCCTGGATGCCCCTGCTGCTCCCAACGCCTCCTGCGCCCCTCCTATTCTCCCAAGATGCAGTCTCCTTTAGGCGACTGGGGTGAAGCTTTTAAAATGACATTTTCGCCGGGCGCGGTGGCTCAAGCCTGTAATCCCAGCACTTTGGGAGGCCGAGGCGGGTGGATCACGAGGTCGAAAGATCGAGACCATCCTGGTCAACATGGTGAAACCCCGTCTCTACTAAAAATACAAAAAAACTAGCTGGGCGTGGTGGTGCATGCCTGTAATCCCAGCTACTTAGGAGGCTGAGGCAGGAGAATTGCCTGAGCCCAGGAGGCGGAGGTTGCGGTGAGCCGAGATCGCGCCATTGCACTCCAGCCTGGGTAACAAGAGCGAAACTCCGTCTCAAAAAAAAAAAAAAAAAAAAATGACATTTTCA